GCATTTGTACGTTTCATACAACAATTCTTAATTAAATTTGTTGAATGAATTCAAGGTTTTAAGAAATAGTATTATAAATGTTGCATAGTCATAAAAGATAGATAATGTATACAAATTTGAGATGGCATTTAAGTTGTCATATATAAGCGGGGGTGGGGGTGGGCATCCAGCGCTGGTAATTTTAATCTATTGCAATGGGAGGGGCACAGGAAAACAAAAGAAGGAAGGAAGGCGTGGTCTCCCTCCCAACCCCTGGCAGCTCCGTCCAGCCCCAGCCCAGAGGGCTGCCTGGAGGGCTGGCGAGAAAGCCAGGCTTCCTTGCTCACCCAAAGGATGCACGCTTACCCCGGCAGGCAGTTCTTGTGATCAGGCAGCATCCCAGCCAGCGTCCCCCCACGGTTGGCCATGACGTTTGTGGTTGCATGACCACCGCGGACCTTTGGTGGCATGTTCCCCTAAGGCCTGTCGGTGGGTCGCTAGGAGACTGCATGTGCTGCCCAGACCTGCCCAGTTTGCCCCGAGACAAGCCAGGCACGCCCCTGAGCTTCACTCTCCCGGCTTCCAAGCCTGGGGGTTGCAGCTGGGCTGCGCAAGAGTCCAGGCCTTGATTTAATCAGGCTGCTACGTGCCTAGGTCTATTCATCTCCCACCCGCTGAAATTTACTGAAAACTAGAAGAGGCTTTTTTTGGGGTTGTTCATTGCATTTTACACAAATATTTACTGAAGGAAAGCAAGAGAAGAGCGGACGCTAGCAAGAACAGGCTTTCCTGGTGCCTTGGGACTTTCTTCATCTCAGTGCCCCTTAAGTCCAGGGCGAGCACTATATCGAGTCACCAGTTGATGCCCGGTGTCCCTTTTTAACTCCCTGTTTTTTAATTGGTTAACCTCAACCCACTTCGAGCACTAGCCGTTACCATCCCATTAGCCTGGTAAACAAGGTCTCATGTAAATACCAATCTCATGAGAGTGTTTCCTTGACAGCTACTTTCTACTTGTGAGTGCTCCTGATTTCAATGAAAGTATTCTTTCTAGAGGAAATAGTGGAAAAACAATCTCTTATCACCAGATTTTTCCCAGTAGTTAATTTGCATTTTTATGGTGGTTTAATTTTTGTCGCCCTTTAATAAGAATTGGCAAACTCAGCTGGGTGTGGTGGCGCAGCCTTTAATCCCAGCACTTGGGAGGCAGAGGCAGGTGGATCTTTGTGAGTTTGAGGCCAGCCTGGTCTACATAGTGAGTTCCAGGCCAGCTGGAGCTACAGGGAGACCCTGCCTCAAAAAGACCAAAAAACAAAACAAAACAAAACAAAAACATTAAAATGGGGCTGGAGAGATGGCTCAGTGGTTAAGAGCACTGGATGCTCTTGCAGAGGACCCGGGTTCAATTCCCAGCACCCACATGACGGCTACGAACTGCCCTTAACTCCAGTTCCAGGGGAATCGGAAGCCCTCTTCTAACCTCCAGCAAACTCTTTGGGTATAAGTTAACTTCATGTTGAGGAATCTATTGAATACCTGAATATTACCCAAAATGCCCTGACCTCAACTAGTTCCAATGAAACCTCATGTAAGTGTCCCCAACTAGTACTCAATTCCTTCTTTCTCCTGTCTCTCTATCGCTTAAGGGTTAGCTACCCACCGAGGTCTCTATTTTTTATAGGTTAACTGCACACTAAAATTAGCTATGAATAGACAACCTCTACTCTCCCTTAATGAGCACTCCCTAGATCCAGTTGTGGTAGAAGGTCACCCTCATAAAGTTTGCCAGAAATGCTAACTATAACAAAAAGCCAGACACAAATCATTGTAATCAACACAAAAGCACTGATCGTTTGCCTCTTCTTTAGGCCCACTGGATGGATGGCTATTCTTTTCTTTAAGATTTATTTTATTTGTATTTATGTGTATGTGCATGTGTGTATGTGCATATGTGTATGGGTAACCTCAGAGGCCAGAAAAGGGCACTGGATAAGTTAAGGCAGCATGTGGCCCTCATCAGATGCAGCCACCTGCTCTTGAACCCTACAGCCTTCAGAACTATGGGCCAAAGTAAATCTCTATTCGTTATAAATCACCCAGTCTCAGGTATTCTGTTATAGTAACAGAAAATGACAAAGACCAAATGATAGTCCTAATCCCTCACCTTGGGGGTTAGGGTTAAGATTTCAACGTGTGAAATGGGAGGACAAACATTGAGACCATCCATGGCTCATGCTAACTTTCATGGAGTTCTACAAAGTTTGGTTAAGTTTTAGTTCGGCTTCAGAAGACTTAAGGAACAGGACTGGGGCAGATAGACGCAACTAAAACTAATGAGGGGCCATGCATACCAGCACTGGTCTTCACACCATCTCAGCCATCTGTCACCTATGCATGGGCTGCACTGGGCAGTTACATTTTCTAACCTGTTCTTCACACACTGTCCCTGATCATCTCATTACATGATATAAGCACAGTATGAAAAAGTTCCAGACACTGTCAAAGTCGAAACAGACATTACAATCACTGCAGAAATGGAAAAACCTAGAAAACTGCTGATAATTGAGCAAACCATCTAGTGGCTGCTTATTTTCATCATTTTCCTTGAAAATCCTTATGATACTGGGTGTGGTAGCTTATACCTATAATCCCAACATTGGGAAAGCTGAGGCAGGAGGATTGTGAGATTGAGGCCAGTCTGAGTTGCATCACAAGATCCTGTCTCAACGCAACCAAATAAATAAGTAAATTTCTTGTGACAATTATAAAGTGCCTTAAATCTGAATAGCCATCATGATGGGTTTCTATTGGTTTAAGACCACTAGTTAAAATATATTTTAATCTCTTCAAGCTACTTCAGGTATGCTCAAAATCAAGGTAACTACTTCACTTTTTTGGGTGTCAGAGGTTTTAGAACAGCATCAGAAGAGTCTTGATACCTGATCATCTGATCACCTGGATTGAGTCCTGGCTCTAAGATTCATTTGCTGAACAACCTTGGGAGAGTTATTTCCGTGCTTTAGTGTCCTTATCTATAAGTGAGAGTAAGAGCCCTTGCCTCTTAGGAATTTGTGAGCACTAACTAGTTATTGAATATAGAGTGCTTAGGACAGGGCCTAGCATGTACTAAGCTCCCAGAAAATGTTCAGACCATCATACAGAAGACTTCTGAAATGGGGATTCAAACTCTTCAATGAATTCCAGTGATGTGTGGTCATGAATATCCCTAGTCCAACTTTGTAAACAGCAGGACTTGGTAATCCAAAAATGAAACACACCAGGCATAGTGATGTATGCCTTTAATCCCAGCACTCAGGAGGTAGAAGGAGGTAGATCTGTGAGATTCAGGCCAGCTTGGTCTACACAGTGAGTTCCAGGCCAGCTGGGGATGCATAGTGATCTTGTCTCAAAAAAGAACGAAAGAAAGAAAGGAAGAAAGAAAGAAAGAAAGAAAGAAAGAAAGAAAGAAAGAAAGAAAGAAAGAAAGAAAAGGAAGGAAGGAAGGGAAGGAAGGAAGGAAGGAAGAAAGACATTGCATTTAATGGGCTGATCTCTCTTGAGAGTGTGGGGAAGTTTAAAATTTACTCTTTCACATGCCTTTAATCCCAGCACTTGGGAGGCAGAGGCAGGTGGATCTCTGTGAGTTTGAGGCCAGCCTGGTCTACATAGTGAGTTCCAGGACAGCTGGGGCTACAGGGAGACCCTGTCTCAAAAAGACCAGGAAAAAAATTTTTTTTGATCATTTTTGTCTGTGAAATAAACTGACAAATTACAAGAAAAAGAAGGTACAAAATTGGTTGCATGTTGTGTTACTCAGCTTTCCATCTCTGTGACTAAATACCTGAGATAAGGCAAATTAAAATGGAAAGGTTTATTTTGGTTCATGGGGTTTTTTACATAGTGAGTTCCAGTTTAAAATATTTTATTTATTATTTTTATTTTATGTGTATGAGTGTATATCCCGCATGCATGTGAGTGCACCTGTGTCATGCAATGCCACGGAGGTCAGAAGAGGGCTTCGGATTCCCCTGGAACTGGAGTTAAGGATGGTTCATAGCCGCCATGTGGGTGCTGAGAATCGAATCTGGGTCCTCCGCAAGAGCAGTCAGTGCTCTTAACCCCTGAGCCATCTCTCCAGCCCCTTGGCTCACGGTTTTTGTCTGTTGTCAGGTGACTGCACTGCTTGAGACCTGTGGCAAGAAAGAACACCATGGTGGGGAGTATGTGGCACAGCAACGCTCTGTAGTGACCAGGAAGCAAATAGAAGATGGGAGGGGACAAAGTACACCTTTCAAGAGCACACCCCTGTGACCTACCTAGGCGCCACCTCCTAATTGTCCATTAAGTTATGAATCCTGTTATGAGACTGGTTCTAGTTTTCTTTCTGTTGTTGTGATAAAACACTGACCAAAAGCAAATTGGGGAGGAAAGGGTTGATTATAGTTTGCATTTCCAGCTCCTAATCCATCTTCAAGGGAAGTCAGAACAATGGAGAAACTCTGCTTGCTAGATTGCATCTAGGCTAGGCATAGATGGCTTTCTCATACAGCCCAGGACCACCTACCTAGAGATGGTGCCACTCACATCAATGAAGATGATAAAGATAATCCTGCACAGACTTGCTCACAGACCAAACTAATAAAGACAATTATTCACTTGAGACTCCTTTTTCAGGTGATTCTAGGCTGTGTCAAGTTGACAAGTAATGTTAACTAGGACAAGGTCAGAGTTCTTGTGATACAGTCACTACCCCAAAGTGCCACCTCTAAACAGCATCCCATCAGGGACCAAGCCTTTAGCATATGAGATTTCTGAGGGGCATTTAAGGTTTAAACCATAGCATGTGCCCCTAAGGCAAGGGAGGTTTAGACTCAAATGGTTAACCCTTATAGAAAGAGTTGTGACTGGGGATTCTGGGCAAGAGACAGTTGGTGTAGGCTATGGAAAGTTAGGGGAGGATGGGCATAGTGAGAAAGGGTCATCTGGTGGTGTACAACAAGGTCTCCTAGGTAACAGCCACCTGTTAGACCTCTAGTCTCTGCTTCCTATTGAGAGGGGCAGTAGACAGAAATGCCTGTCTGCATTCAATATTTACTTTACTAATAACAGGCTGTTCAGGGCCACTCCTGTGTCCACAGAAGTCAGCATTTTCTCTGAAAAAAGAGAGAAAATTATGCCTATGAAATATATTTGGAGTGGGGTAGTTTACTCTCTACAGGCCCTTACCTGAAATCCATATCTGTGCCTAGTTCTTAGATTCATGATTGTAAAAGTTGTCAGAATCAACATGGAGTCACTGTGGCAAGTCCTAACAAAAAAATAAGCAAACTGGGGAGCTATGATGGAAAGGATCTTAATAACCATCACAGAAGACACCACCAGAACCACAATCTTTCACAAAGACCGCTGCAGTATT